AAGTTGCCTGAGGTCACACAACTTACAAGTGGTTGAGCCGGGCAAGGCAAACCGGTTATAGAACCCTGCTCTCAATTCCAGCATTAAATAGTGTTATTAACATTGTTAGCTAACATTTACTGGGCACCAACATACAATTCAATTCAGCTATTTAAGGTGTACAATTCAATGGCTTTTCGTATATCCACAGACTTGTGCATCCTTCACCACAATTAACTCTGGAACATTTTCATTACCCCAAAAAGAAAATCCACACCATTTAGTTGTCGCCAGCCACCTCCACCAATCAACCTAAGCAAAATATATGTTTGATGCCGAATCTACTGTATCCTTGCAACGGCCCTGTATGGTTGGGACTAATACCCACCTCCCCATACAGGTAAGGAAACTGAGGTACAGGGTGGTTAAGAAACTTGCCCGAGTTTACGCAACCAGCCAGCAGTGGAACTGGGACTTAAATTTAGGCAGTCTGCCTTAAGAACACTTCTCTTAACTATGATGTTATGCCGCCATCACTATATTACATTCCAAAAGTTAAAATTTATGAACAAGTAGGAATTATTCCAATAATATAAGAATGGCTTGACTTGAATAAACCTAGTAATAAAACGTATCAATAATTTCAATTTTAAAAATCATATGCCAAAAAACATTTGATAAAATTCAATGTCTATTTCTAGGAAAAAACAAAACAAAAAGATTTTAAAGACCCTAAACAAGAATAGAAGAATGCTTATACACCATCTCAAATAGATATAATACCTCATAGTGACACAATGAAGCCATCCATAAGTAATAAAGAATAAAACACGTCCATTATCATTACCCTAACGAATTTATTCTAGAAGTTTCATCCAATGCAATAAGTCAGTAAAAAGAAAAAAAATGACGTTTCTCTTGAAAAAGAAAATGCAAAAAATTATTTCTAGAGAATATATAAATAGAAAAATACTAGAAAATCAACTTCTAAGTCATTTTTGGTAGTACAACATTCCAGTACTCTAAGAAATTGAATAGAAGACTGTGAAAAATAAAACGAGATAAATGTGCGTGGGATTGGCCCATGGGAGTCAGCTCAGAGCTCAAATCTGTCTTTCAGGCTGTACGGTCCCCGTAAACTGGAAATCATTAAGTCCTGCTTCACCTCGCAAGAATGCATCCCAGTTAAGATTCTTTACATTCTTTTCCCTTGCCTATTTTGCCTGGAAAAATACTTGAAACCACAATGTTAGATGTGCTGTTTATTTGTGTGTGTCAGTATTTTAACTGGAAGAGGAGAGGATTTTTCATGGCTCTTTTGGTTACAGTGATTTGACATTTTATCAGTTACAGGATTTATCACCCACATGGAAAAAGGAAGAACTTTTGCAAAGGAAGAGTGGAAAAGCTAAGGGCCAACATTGCATATTCCCTTCTTCCCCGACGTACTAGTCAAAACCTCCAGGTGCGTAGGGTAAAAAGAAAGGACCTCTCCTTTGATGTCCCTGTAACTCTGAGGAAATTACAGAGTGACAACGTCTTGGCACATCTCACAGACTGCTGGTGTCACCAGGGATCCAGGCTGAAGGGAATCCATGGCTTTGCCTATCCTGGAGCCCAAACATATCTGTTCAACTAGAGGCTATCAGGACTTCCAAGAGCTTTGACCTAACAAACTTACCAGATATTTTTTTGATAAACTGTCATTTATGCATCTTTGCTCTCTCTCCTCCCTCCCACAAAGGCTTCTGTGGGTAAGTTGTCAATATATTAATTTATCTTCAGAAGTAGATCAATAGCTGAGGTGCACAGGATGAAAACTGAATTGGAGTCCAAACCCTGGTCTGAGTCTCAGATTTTCCATTTAAATATCGTGGGTAATCTTAGCTGAGCTACTTAACCCCACATTCACCTAAAATTATCCTCATCAATGTTACCAATAGCCTGCTGGTTTCTAAGCCCAATAGATCCTTTTATTTAAAAATCTCACATAATCTCTCTATGGCTTTAGACTCTGCAGATCACCTTTCCTCCCTGGGTTTCATCATACCACCTTTCTGGTTTTCTTCCTATCCGTCAGATGATTCTTCTTATTCTTTAGCTCACTCCTTGCATCGAGGATCTGACTTCAGCGCTCAGTTATTTGGGTTGAAAACCCTTTCTCTGGGTAGCCTCATCCAAATTCACAGATTCAAGTCCCAGACCTCTTTCCTGAGACCCAGAACTGTAGACTGGACATCTCCACCGGAACAAACCATGGAGACTTGAACACAACAGGCCCCAGGCTGAACTAAACATCTACCCCCATGCCTCCTACACTGTCCAAATCAGAAAATGAGTTCCTCAGGTGAGGATGATCCTGATGGTCTGTGGATGACCCCTGAGTAGCAAGGTTTGAGAAGCAAGGCCTCTTTTTATAATCCCAACAACTAGATCATAAAGTCTTGTAACGTCCACCTTGTTGATATCCTTTTCCTCCCCATCATCCCCACCTCCACTGCCTTAATTCAAGATCTTATGACATCTCCTTCAATAGTCTCCCTAACACCTTTCTGGACCAGGCTAATTTTTCCTACATACTTCTGCCATAAGTACCTTTATCAAAGACAAACCTGAGACTCTTCAACGGCTCTCTGTGGCTCTATAATTATTTAAGCTCCCTTATTTTGTACACAAGGCCCTTCATGGTCTGCCCTCATCCTATCTCTAGAATTTCATCTGCAATCACCTTCCCACATTCCCTGCACCTCAGTTAATTACTTCTATTTTCCCAAACATCATGCTCATCCACTATACTTGTCTCCCCTCCTTCTGTTGCAATGTCATTCCAAAACCCTAAGTTTACTCTTCTCTCATCCTCCTGGGATCAATTCATTTGTCCCTTTCACAAGAAGTCTTCCCTTACCCTCAGTGTGACAGGTTGCATTTGTGCTCACAATGCTTCACCATTTTCTGCATTTACATTTTTGCCACGGCCTCATCACGCGCAAAGTATACTTTCTCACACTTTAACTTTGAGGTCAGCTTTGTGCCTTCCTTTGGCCAATAACACAGAAGCAGAGATGATAACCTGCCAGTTCCATGTCCCTTTAAACAAACTTCTGACATTGCTATGAGAAGAACATGTCTGAGCCTGTCCCAGTAGGAGCAAGAGAAACTCACGGAGCAGAACTTCTCCAGTGAGCTGACCTGAGTCTGGCTTTGATCAGCTGACCCTCAGAGGACCCACAGAATGTGAGATAAATGCTCACTGTTACATGGAACTGAGATTTTGTGATCGCTTGTTTGGCAGTATGTTCTAGCAACAGATAAACCAAGAAGCCAATGTGGTTTGTCTCTTCTTTGTCCTCCAATAGCATCTTTGCATGCTTCTGTCCAGTTTCTTTCTGAGACAAATAAGAAAGCAAAACTGGCCCAGCTGCCAGTATTACCACTAAGCACATCACAAACTTCAGCCAGAGGAGAAAAAACTCCTCTGTGCATTCTGATTAAGTTTTTTTTTTTTGTTGTTTTTTTTTTTAAAGGCAAGAACACCCTGCCTAGCACTGCTCCTCCAAATACAGGAAGCCTTGAGCCCTTTCCTTTAGGTTAACTCTCTAATCAAAACAGTTTTACCCTTGACTTTTACAAGACTGATGCCAACACATGTATGTAAACCTTTATTTATAGATGACAATCAAGTGAAGAAACATGTTTTTCTGCCATGAAAAAGCTAATTTAACCTCGGTTATTTGGGGAGCCCAGCTCTGTTAAAGTGTGGAGTAACTCGAAAAACTTCACAAGTAAAAATACTTTTATTTTCCAAGTGCTCTTGTCTGAGCTTTTCTTTGCCACAAGGTAAGGTGTTGCGCATTGGGCTCCACTGGGCTCAGTATTCCAAAAGCCTGTATCTTGCAAGGGTCATGGTAGCTTGGAGATTTGTCAGTGAGAGCAGAAATCTGAAAGGCACTGTCTTGGGGAGATGCTAAACCAAAAAGACTAGCCCCTAGTCCAAACTCATCACCAAACCCAGATGAATAGGTGGGCAGAGAACCCCAGAATGAGTTTGGAGACAGACCTTGGGTACCCATTCTTACACTGATGAAAAGGTATTGCTGTACTGCTTTAGGGAGTGCAGCCTCAGGCACAGGTGAGAGTCATGCTGGCATGGACAACCTCTAATGTCAAGCTTTTCACATGCTGGTGCAAAAAATTTTTTTTTTTTTTTTTTTTTGGGGTACGCGGGCCTCTCACTGTTGTGGCCTCTCCCGCTGCGGAGCACAGGCTCCGGACGCGCAGGCTCAGCGGCCATGGCTCACGGGCCCAGCCGCTCCGTGGCACGTGGGATCCTCCCAGACCGGGGCACAAACCCGTATCCCCTGCATCAGCAGGCGGACTCCCAACCACTGCGCCACCAGGGAAGCCCGTGGTGCAAAAATTTTGTATTTAATTCTTTTGTGCTGTATATACAAACAAGTCTACGATACTTGTGTGGCGATATTTAAAATGGTGATTATGAATATAATTTAGCTGTATGAGGCATGCTTCTTATAGAATGTTAAATGAAAAAACAGAAAACAAAATGGCTTGCACACCATTATAATACATATTCGTAGAAAACAGACTGGAAGAAAATACATGCCCAAAATAGTTGTTAGGTAAGTGAAATGAAGAGTCAGTCTCCAAGTGTTTCTATTTTTCAAAACAGTCAACGTAAAAACATAACTCACATAAAACAGCATACAAGTAAACACCAAAAATTTTAAAAGAAAGGTTTCTCAGTGAGCATTGAACCAGAACAAAGCAGTATGAAAAACTCCCTGGCGTCTCCCCATAGAGATACTCATATCAAGGCTCCACTCCTCTCATTCCAGTCGGTGTGGTCCCATCTCCAAACTGGGCTGGAGATAAATGACTCACTCTTTGGCTGTCGATTTCTAGACTCCACATAGACTACCATCCTACCAACACATTACAATTACTTCGATTATATGCCAGTTACAGATTCAGGACTGGTTTTCTTGATTAAACATGGGACATACCTGGATGTTTAGCCGAAGGTCTTGAAATATCTCAGCAGCAAAAGTACTCTGCTTTTTTATTGAGCGCTTGCACACAGAAACTAGAAGCTTCATTTTTTTTCATTTTCAGAGGATGAATTTTCAGACTTCATCTCCAAAGCCAAGGCTTCCTCTGTTTGGTAGCTCCATACTATCTGCAGCCTGTTCCTGCTTTTAACAAGGGTGAGTGAAAGCAGCTGGTCCCAATCCCGTGTAACCCTTCACGGGCTTGATGTTAAAATGGTCCATCAGCTTTTTATTCAAATGAATTCACCTGCTGTGTTTGGCTTTACCACTGAGGTTTTGTTTGCCAGGAGAGAAGTGAATTTTTTTCTGAATACCTGTGACTATCTCCCTCCCCACTGGTATTAAATTGAAGGTATCGAAAAGGAATACTCAATATTGGTGCAAATATCCCCAGCATCGCCTTACTGTAAAGCAGAGTGTAGGGTGGTGTGGGGAAAGGAAGCAAACAAAGATATCTTTCTTTGTAGATTTCTTTTACAGGATATCACACATAGGCATGATGTTATGCAATAAATACAATCTTTGTGCTAATAGGAATCTGTTTCAAATAACAGATTAGAAGTAATCTATTTATGGAACAACCAGATTGTAATAACAAAGAAATTAGTATGAGATTCCTGTAGGAATAACAAAATACCAAGAGTGCTTTTTAGAAAAGATTCACTTTGGGGACTAATAAAAGGGAATATAAAGCTTTACAAAACAATGGGATAGGAATATGCCTCTTGCCTCGCAGAGCTGACAGAACTGTTTGAACAAAAACACTTGGAGCAGAATATAGGAAAGAGAGGATTGGGACTGGATTTTCCAGGAACAGTTTGGAGATGGGCCAAATTGATAAGCTGGGGAGTCAACAGTCAGGTTCTTCTTATGATAGAGGCAGAGAAGTCAGAGTCAGAGGTTCATGTGCCGAGTCTTAGAGAACCATTTCTGGAAAGAGCCAGAATTCTGAACTCAAGTTAGGTATAAGCAGCAATGGGGACATGGCAGCAAGAACGGAAGCTGTGACTATTATGAATCTTGGACACAAGTGGACTTGGTTCCTGGATGATGTCACCCTCAAGGCAGCACGCTCAAAACAGCCAAAAATAATAATTTTTTAAAATGTCAATCTTAAACACACAACTCAAAACAAAAAAGAAAGAAATTGTACCCAATTCAAAACCCGTGCCTTTTCTCTTATTATGGAGATCAACTTCATATCTTTTCCCCTGAGGTCTTCTCCCCTCTTCATCTCCCATCTCCAGTTAGGGTTTTCTGGCCCCTTTCACTCTTTCCAGGAGCTAGTGAGGCAGAGAAAAATGCTCCTCAGAGAGAAGTAGAAGGGGAATAGCCAAGTGAGACAGCTTTCTCCTGGGTAAGGTGGGACGCTAAAATGATTTACATAGACTAATAATTTCTGACTATGTCTCCCTGCCCCTCTTTTCAAAATTACACCCCCAACACTCACATATATACACACACACAAGAAAATTCTTCTATTAAGTGGGGATCCCAGAAGTTCTTTTTACTTACAACCTAGCTGTCCCTCTCTCTTCTACTGGGGACATTGTAAATCACCCTTGTCATATGCTTCTGGATATCTTCCAGGTGGACAACCACAGCCCCCTCCACTCTCCTTACTGAACTTGATGCTGGCAGATGGGCAAACTCCTGAGAGGCAAACACAGTCAACTCAGTATTTAATGGAATGTCGCTCCAGGAGTTCTGTCTCAGATTTTTGGTGCCGAGTTCTGTCTCTGGTGACAGTCCTCCTAGTTGCAGGTTACCACTAGATGTCTCTCTTCTCCTCAATCTACACCAAGTAGCGTGTACACTCCACCTCAGGGTCTGTAACCAAAAGGGGGAAAGAATATCTGTGTGGGCAGAGCCTGTCAGTGAATAATTAGAAATGCAATTCAGAGTCAGAACTTGGCTGCCTTGGAGAGGTCCACTGGCACCTCTCTTTCAGGTACTCTGTCTTTAAAGAGTGGAGTTGCATCTGCACACTCTATCCCAGCATTAAGTTATCTTCATTAAGAAATCTTGTGCCTTCAAAGCTTTAAATGTTGACTTCTTTTCCTCCTCAACTCTATTCTTCTTAATAGTACGACTTAGAGGGTCTTCAGAGTGGCAGTGAAGTTCAATAATTCCTGATTGGAAATTGACACTGCGTGAATTCTAGAATCTCCATTCATTAACCATACCCAGAGAAAAACTTGTTCTCAGACTCCTCCAGTAAGTAGCCAATCAGATTGAGCCATACTGGTGAGGCCAAAAAAATGACATGTACAGTCACTGAAAGGGCTCAGATCAAGCTTACCCTTCACTGATAAAAAATATATTCATCAGGGCTTCCCTGGTGGTGCAGTGGTTGGGGGTCTGCCTGCCGATGCAGGGGACACGGGTTCATGCCCCAGTCCGGGAGGATCCCACATGCCGCAGAGTGGCTAGGCCCGTGAGCCATGGCCGCTGAGCCTGCGCGTCCGGAGCCTGTGCTCCGCAGCGGGAGAGGCCACAACAGTGAGAGGCCCGCGTACCGAAAAAAAAAAAAAAGAAAAAAAGAAAAAAAAGAAAAAAAAATATATATTCATCAAAGTACCCTGCAATAAAGAGGATCACTAGCTTAGTGCCTAAGCTCATCCTCTTGGAGACATAGAGTTAGCAAAACCAGGAAAAACTTAAAAAAAAATCACAATGTGTATTTTCAGAGCAATTTAATAGACTATAGGGATGCATAGAACTAACATGGGGGCTATGGGAAAAGCATTAATCAGAGAACAAGAATGAGTTCCTGTAGGGGAAAAAAGATGATTTATCAAATTAAAAAATAAATAATAGAGGCCAGAAATAGCAGAATGGACACTAGACTGCTGAAAACAAATTAGAACAAGCACACCAAGAATTCACTCAGCTATTCAATAAATATTATTTAAGCACCTCCTCTGCTCTCTGTTCTGGCTCACATCCAGACACTGGGTATACAAGGAGCAAACAAACCCCTGCTCCTATGGAGCTTCCATTCTAGTGGGAATTATTACAGAATTTAGAACAAAAACAGACATTATGTAAATGATAAGAGGAATACTCACTAACATGAATAATAGAGGAAGATGGTCCAACATCTATATGATTAGGTCTTTCAGGAGACTAGAGAGCACAGGAAAGAAATAATAGAAGAAATTTTCTCTGAGTTGATTGAGGTTTACATCAGAAAATCTCACTGAATCCTGAGGAGAAATGGTAAAGAAGCATTCGATATCAAATTTAAAAACACAAGTTAAAAAGCATTATTAGAGATAACAAAAACCACTACATAATGATAGATTTAATTCACTAGGAAGATCTTTTTAAACATAAACACTAATAAAATAGCCTCAAAATACATAAAGAAGAAATGGATAGAACCCCCAAGGAAAAAGTGACAAATGCACTATCAAAGTAGGCCTCCACACAGCTTTCTTGATTATTGACAGGAAAAGCAGAAAACAGCAAAATATCAAAGACATTAAAATATAATGAATATGCTTGATCTAAAGAAAACATTAAATTTTGCATTCAACCATTAGAGAACATTATTTCTTCTCAAGCCTACAAGAGACATTTAGAAAAATGATAGATACTAAGATAGAGATTCCTGATTTCTGAATTCCAAAATAAACATTAAATCCTACACTATAATAATGTTCCAGATTGGCATCATTTATCACTCCTGTAACAATCAATGCTAGAGACAGCTGAGCAATGTTTAAAATTTTCTTAAGAAAAAAGATTATTACCCAAGAACTGTAAACTTGGCCAAAAAATGTTCACGTGAGAGGGAAAATGAAACATGTTTTAACACATACAAGCAATCACAAGGTACGCCTCCTGGAAGAAAAAAATCATTCATGGGAGCAAAAAGAAAAATGATTCAGCATAAAAATTTATAGAGAGAGGAAGACATAGTACAAAAAAAAAACTAATGAGCTATATAACCAGCAAAGTACCATTTTCTAAGGACTTGTTGGCCTATGTTAGCAAAGATCCTTCAAAGAGAAACTGCATTATGAGAAAGAGGATCTGGAAATAAATATGCAGTTTTTTTTAGTATATGAGGAATTTTGGAGAAAAGGGTAGGAAGTAAAACTGCTAAATTTCTGAACTTGAAAAAGAGAAATACATATATTCTTTTCATTGATAGAAGTTAAAATGTTTTGAAAAATATTTTGAAATATATAACTTCAAAGAGATTAAAAAAGTAATTTAAAGATGGCAAATTAGAAAAAGAAAAATAAGGATATACAAAAGCATAGTAAAGAAAAATAAAGAGAATCAACTAAATAACTCTATTATACAAAACCTCATGGAATGAATAGTAAAGCAAAACCAAGCTTTTTGCTGTTTATAAACTGTATGCCCAAGACAAAATAACATAGAGCTGGAAAATGAATAAAGAAAAAAAACAGCAGTCTTGGAAACACTAACATTTGGAGAAGTCTAAATTCAAACAAACAAAAAATACTGTTATCAAGTTGAAAAAAAAAAAAAAAAAAGCCCAACAATGTCCATCTAAGCCATACACATTACATTTGGCCAAGTTCACAATCATAATGGGACACTATGGCAAACCATCCTAATGGGATACCTAATGTAAAAGAGAATAGTTTATGATATATTAAATTAAATATACCAGTCACAAATTTTATTAGAAAGAAAATATAGATCTGTGTATCTAGCAAAGAACTCACATGCTTTTCAAGTTACTTTGGGATTTGACACATTAATTCTAAATTGTAAATAGAACAAATGTGTAAGAATACTTACAAAAATATTGACACAAAGGAATAGGATAAGTAAGTTTCCATGTCTTACATTAAAACATTTAACACTGTAATAATTAAAATATTAAATTATTATATATAAATTATTTAACTAAAAGAGTTGAGATCAACAGGCTACTTTTTCTTTCTCATCCTTTCTCTTTCTCCATATGCACATATATTTATAAAGCATATATATATATATATATATATATATATATACACACATACACAAAAATATGAACAACTCCGCAACTGATGTTAGAAAAACTGACTTTCTTCTTGGGAAAAATAAAGGTATATCTTCACTTCTTACCATATACTTAAAAATTGCAGTAAGATTGTTAATATTTAACCACTAAAAATAATACAAGCACAAAATAAATGAAACAAAATATCAGATATATTTATAAAATGGGGGGAGGACAAAGCATTTCTAATCTTGTCACAAAATACAGAAACCATAAATGAAAATAATATGGAATTTATTAAGGGAAAAATGAA